CATTAAGAAATACCTGATATATAACATCTTCAATTTTGATTGAGTTTTATTTTACTTTGCACTAGAAGCATGGAAACTTTATTTGATAGAAAAACACACTTAACTTTTAAGGCTTTTTTTTTTTTTTTCAAAATTGGTACACTGATAGATCTTTTCAGTCTATAATTAGGAGTCTCATAAGCTGCATGTGCAAAGTTATACAACAAAAAGTGCTCAAATTTGCAAAAACTTTTGTGCACACCTAGGCAAAAAGTCACGAGCTATCAGTGTAACATTTGTACTACAATTTCACCTAAGAGTAAAAGTGGATCGTTTTTAGTTTTTTGTTGTTCGGATTAAAGACAGCTGATTTAGAACAGCAAAAGTACAAGGTAAAAGGACGTGCAGATACATAAGTATTGGTGAAGTCAAGCAAACTGGATTATCATTTTGTAACTCAAGTTTTCAAAAGAGTCATATGGGTGGATTATTATTATACAGTGCCAACTTTCAAGCACAGATTTGTTAAATTTTATGAAATTATCCTAATTAAATAGATTTTAGCATGACGTGATATTATTTAAGCAATTAACATAAATAAGAATGCTCGATACAACTGTACTGATCGCATGGGGTGATGACAAGAAACTATTAATTTAAATTCCATGGTGTTACTATAAAAGAAGCTATTAACTCTGTTTTAGAGAGGAAAAACTGTTACCATATATTTGAAAGAATCTGGTTGGTTCTTTAAAGTATAGGTCTTTCTGAATAATAGGGTTGTGATTCTAAAGCTAATGGTTACTGTTGAGTATCACTTTTTTACTTGCCATGGTTTGTTGGTGTGTATTGACAAAAAATCATGATATATAATCAAAAATACCTTGGATGTGAAAAAAAGGTGGGGACAAAAAAGGATAGAGTGTGCGACTTAAAGGAATGAAATCACAATTAGCAGCCTAACTGGTAGCTACACTTATAACATTGATAAGAATTTTACAGCAAATATTCATTCATGAGTTAGCTAGTCCATATATTTTATTTTATCCATCTTCATGTCCAAAGTTTTTCATTAGATATTTTTAGTAGAAAGAATTAATTAGAATAAGGTCATTCTTTGTGTACAAGATACTTATAATCCTTAACAAAATCATACCAGTTTTTGTGAGGATATGTTAAGAAATCCCAAAGTTACGATATGTATTGTTCCACATGTAATATTCCCCAGTTATTCCTGCAAATTGTAGGAGACTGTTGCAAAAGATTTTTTCTTAACAAGCTCAGAATTAATGTGATCATTTTGATCACTTGTTTTCATCTAGCAACTGTCCAAATTGAGGAATATTGCTTATATCTTCATTAGTAAGAACTGAAAAAAAAAAATTTAACACATTTGCCACTGCAGCAATTTTAGTGCATGTGCTAAGCCACATTCATTATTGCTAAAGTGACAAAACTTTAGCAACAGTTTGAAACAATCACATAATATAAAGGTATTGACAAATGGAGTAGCCAGCACTGGACCAGTTGACCAGTAATCTTTTACCAATGGTTTTTTTTCATGATGCCCATGATGAAAAGAATGCCAAGTAATTTCTCATTTCAGATGCATCAGTTACAGACTATCACCAATGCATTCTGCTTTTAGTCTTTACACAGTTCAATTTCAAGAACTGTGCAGCAAACCTATTTGTTTCAGTGACCATCATGTTCATAACATCCTCTGTCACAAACAGTTTAAAAATGTCAACTGGAATGGCCTCCAGCAGCAAACCTGCAACCATTTGATGCTGTATAGAGAAATAAATATTAGTTGGACTAACATATGTAACCTGACAGTCTGCCATCCATCATCTGATGGTGGTATTACAGTGTCACTGTTGGTGTCTGGATTTGTAGTGTCAGTTACAGATGAATCAGCTTGGACGTTTTCTTGGTCTGTAAATTTCAGGCCTCTTTCATCATCAATCTCAGAATCACTAGGCTCATAATTACTCTCCCTATCTACATTGTTCTCCTCAAATGATTATGAATCAGATTATTATAAAAATACCAGTAGTTTCACTCAGACTAAAACGTTTGCACAACCCTGTATCTTGTTCCCACACTATACCCTCTCTATTTCTTATTTTTTCTTCATTATTCTGGCACTCTCCACTGTAATTCTAGTTTAAAGTTGGTTTTATAGTTAGCAAACCTGCCCCTACCCTACCTAAATGTAAACCATCCATTCCAGAAAGCTCCCTTTCCCATTGAACTGATTCCACAAATCCAACCAGCCAACCTGCTTTTCCATACTTATTAACTTAAGCTTGATATACAGTCCTTGTGACCTACTTATAATTTCATTCCTGACAGAATTAAGTTATTATTTCTTTGAATACCTTTATCATTGCCTTGTACTTGTTAACTCCTCTGATCTACCCTTCCCTACATCATATTAGTCCCTGTGTGCATTCCAAAGACTATCTCTACTAGCACCTTTCACTATATCACATGCTCTGTCAGTTATATCCTCCATCCTTGACCCCAGATAGCATATCCTCCATATTTACCTCATAGACTATCTTATCTATGTGCCATACTAAAGAATCTCTTATAAAAATAACCTCCTTATGTTTATCATACCCATTCTTATCTGTCCCTTTGGTTATTCTTTCATCCTCTTCACAACCTAAAGGCTAAAATTATTCTTTATTAGAGTTTACTCTTTATAATTAAATCTATTACAACTAGCCCTGTTATTAGTTTCTAATTTCATGAGAATCATTATCAGCCTCTGTATCCTTTGCATGCAAAAGCTTAATTTCCTCTTTAAATCCTGCTGCGATTTTTTGCATTAAACCTTTCTCTTTATCCATAGCCTCTACCCTATTTAGAACAGCTTCCAACTTTTCCTCCAACCTACAAACTTTACAGCTCCAAGTTTCCAAATAAAAACCTAGTCTTTGCAACTGTCACACCTAACAAACTGTGAGTGCTGAACACTTACACTATTCTTAACCATTGTAGCCTGGGAATAAGTAATCAATGCTAAATACAGGTAACCTAATGACAATAGTATTAAGTCTAATGGTAGAGTTAAGTATAATACATTACCTTATCTTCTCACTTAAGTAATTGTTTATCTTTAAAATGTGAAATGACTAATAACTAGTCCTTAGATTATTTTTGCAATAATACGGTTTATTTAACCTGTTTTACAACTTACAAATAACCGAATAAGCTTAGATTTAAGCTAAAGTTATGTTACACTCACTAAATCAAACTGTAGATTAAATAATATTAAACTGTAGATACACATAACACCAAACCCTCTATTAATCAATACCTATACCTTTAAGTTTAATTACCAATTTCAGTACTATAGCTATGATGTAAAACACATTTCTAGTTACATACACTAAATGCTAATATAACAGTTTACTGGAGTTAATTTATCATAGTTCATATTTTTTTATTTTACACGAATATAAACAGTTGCAACTGATATTTATACATTATTTATCAGTAAAATCAACACTAGCAGTCAAAATGTGTTCACTATTTTTACTCTGTGATCTTCAGCATTAAATAAAAGACATTTAGCCAAAATGCTCATCGTTCAATTAATTTTTTTTTTAGTGTTATCCACATAATTTCACATACTGTTGCTTTTTTCCATTCAAGATAGGAGCTGATGGGAAGCGATCACTGGTAAGAAAGACCGTGAATGTGAATTATACAGCTTAGAACTATGGCCAGAAGGCTGTAGAATTTTATTGGATAGTGAACATGATTTCACTAAGGGAAAATGTTGCCTTACAAATCATTTGACATTCATTGAAAAATTTACTGCTTAGGTAGATGTGTAAATTTGGTGTATCTGAATTTTCAGAAAGCATTTGACAAGGTGACACATAAAAGGCATGTAAAAAAAATCTCTATATGTGTTGGGGATATGTTAGCAAATTGTTAGAAGAGTGGCTGAATCGAAAAAAAGCAGGGGGGTTGTTATAAGTGGGGTACCTCAGGGCTCAGTCTTTGGACCTTTGCCTTTTTTTTATTTATAGCAGTGACATAAATGAAGGAATGTTCAATAAATTACTTAATTTTGCAGATGATATTAGGGTTTTGGGTATTGCTAACTGTGAAGAGGATGCTGTTGATTTACAAAAGGATTTAGATCATTTAATCAGTTGGGCAAATATATGGCAGATGTGTTTTAATTACAATAAATACAAGATAATACATATGGGTTATTATAATTTATATTATAAATATAATTTGGATGGAAATAACCTTAACAGTGTCATGAAAGAAAGGGATCTTGGTGTAATAGTTGATCAGTCTCTTAAGCCATCCAAGCAGTGTGCTGTTGCTAGTGGTAGAGCAAATAAGATTTTAGGTTGTATCTACAGAAATATTGAATATAAGTCTAAAGAGGTTATAATTTCATTGTATAGGTCACTGGTTAAGCCGCATTTGGAGTATTGTGTTC